ATTCTTGTATTTTTTTTTACTTCATGATGTGCAGCTAACGGTGAATAAGTAAGGTGAAGAAAATCTGCACCACTAAAAACCACTTTATATTTGCTAAAGATGAAGGTAAAGGAAAACAACTAAGGTGTGTGCTTTAGACCACACGATAGAAGTCAAAACATCAACAAGGCGAGATTAATAATATGAAATATAAATTAAAAATAACAGCTCATCATAAAGAGGGTGAAATGCTGAACAATTCCCTCGCTTACAGTATGCAGATCCGATTTTTTAGTGTCTGAGATATTTTAATCCATATCTTCAATAAACTCGTTATTATTTGGTTCACGAAGCTATTTTTTCCTACTCGCCTCTCTAACACGCCATCACGTTAAGATACAATTTTGAATAATAATACAGTACAAAGAGAATGGAATGCTGAACATTTCCCTCGCTTATGGTATGCCGGTCCGATTTTTAGTGTCTGAGATATTTTAATCCATATGCAAAAATACTTCAATTAATCGACTCCTGCCGACTCAACCCGAAAGTTACACATCGGGATCTGACGGTTCAATCTAATTCACTCTCTACAAAAAAGTAATAAACGCGCCTAAAGAAGTGTTCACTTAAAAAAAAAAATTTTGAGGATAAACTATTGTAGGATTGGAGAAGGATTACTTATAAAATTAAAGGAAAAATGACTCCTTTCAATCTACTTGATTGCAGAGAGGTATCTAATTGGTTGCTACAAAGTCTTTTATCGGTATAAGTTATTTAATATCGGTTAGTTCGCATAGGTTATTTCGTATTACATATTTTTAACATTATCGAATACTACTCTTCAAAGTAAAATCTATCGTTTTCAACTACATTCATTCATACTTATGTCAGTGATTGGATTTGATGCCGGAACCACTCATTTTTGAGGATAATAACTCTTCGCATTCAATTTTTACATTCTCGTAATTGACAAAGATTTGAATGATCTTTTAAAAAATGAACCATCGATTGAAACAAACCATAATCTTATGGTGCAATATCTGCAATACGCAGTGTAAGGCAAAACATTCATTGCTTGCAGTTCCTATAATCTTTCCTTAGTGAAACGAGAAGAGCGTGCTGGGGTATTTTACAAAATGGCTTGCAAAATGGTTCCTGCAGAAAAACACGGGATACTTGTAGGATTCAGTCCACTACCTGGCCATCAGGAACAAGCGAGAGCAACCTGATTTAGATTCATCTATAAGACTCATTTTCATTCCTGTTGTTTAAACGTTCGAACCCAATTGCGGCTGTATTTCGATGGATAACTGACTCTTCTATGGCACAAGTTTTTTACTAAAGAATCCGATCTCACACACAAAAAAACTTGAAACAGCACAAAAATAACCGTTCTTAATCCTCTATTTATAGCAATAGCTCCGTTTGTAATGAGGCCGTTTGCTTTTCGAAATAACAGAGCGTAAACTGAACAATTATTTCTACATTGAATTTACAATTAACCAGCTATTAGTTTCAATTAACAGGACTAAATTTCCAGCGGACGTGCTAAGAGATTACGCTGACTGATTGTCCCAGTTTACGTAAGAACTGTTAGATTTTGTAACAGTGAAGGTCATACGACTTTTACCATATACCTTACATCAGAACAGATCCGTTCAGTATAGCCCATGAAATTATGAAACAGATTTTTTATTAATGTTTTACTATTGTTTTTTACTGACTGTAAAAACTGTGAGAAAATTCAAAAACGTTCAACAGTTTAATTTTTCAATCAAAACTAGACATGTTGTAATACAAAACTGATACTAAGAATTTAGTAACTCACTATGCAAATATTATTTTTAAGTTTTTTATCAATACTATTTAGTTATAAAAAGTCTACATAGCCCATAAAAAGTTTAGCGTTTTTTATTCTAAATAATTTACTGAAGATATTATTTATAAATGGCGTACAATTTTAGGGTATTAAATATTTAAACCCCGTCTCATGGCAGAAAAAAGATTTTTCATTGGCCGTGGAGCAGCCTTGGGTAGGTAGACACTCCTGGGGCACACCCAGCCTCTATAAAGTGGGTACCATTAATTAAAATAATTGATTAAGGGGAAAACCTGGCGGTTGAGCGTGATCTCGGTCAAATCACCTCCTTGACCAACCTTAGACCAAGGAACAGTGTTTTACTAAATAGTACCGAAGACCCTTCATGGGTTATAGTGGTACAGGTTATTTTGTTTAAAAATATTTAAACGCAATAAGAACGTGCTTTTAGCAATAAAGTGATATAATTTTAAAGTATACAATAGAACAAAAAAAAGTTTTGACCAAGCACAAAATTATTATACTTTAAACACCCTCTATCAGTTTAACTTTATTTTATATCTATTCAAACAGGAATCCATTGCTATTGAACAAAATCAAGTTCTCGATTATTAAATTATCAATTTATTGAAATCGGTTAATGTTTCTGAAATCTTTTTCACATTTTATTTAAGAAAAATTAGCTTTCGTCCGATATGGAGAAATTTTTTTCTAATAATAACCATCACTTTGTTAATTGCATTTTTCGTCATTGATTTGAAGTATTTAAATTAGATATTGTTATTATATATATATATATATATATATATATATTATATATATATATATATATATTATATATTTATTTATGTTGTTTATTAAATAGGTAGACTTTTTATCAGCTCATGGTCATATTTAGATGTGATATGTAGTTTAAAAAAATTATGTGGAGTGTTAGTCTGGAGATAAATTATTGGAGACCTAAATACATTTTACTTTATACAAAGAAGAGAAAAGACAGAATTGGATTGCATGAGTTATTTTTTTAAAAATAATGTTTGTAAAACTCCTGTTTGGTGAATAAGTCATTTTTGTTTTTGTTTTCTGTATCTGGGAAGTTGTTTCTGGAACGGGATTTCCCGAGTGTACCCGAAGGTCATCATTACGTCATACGAGTCACGCTAAACGTGCTTTCGTCGAAGGAGGAAATGTTGAGTCTGATTTCAGAAATATATATCTCATAGTTTATGTACTTAACATGTAACTATATAAGTAGATTTTACACGATTTTTTTTTATTAGAAAAAAAAATGGTTATTATATAAAAATCTGGTGCGCGCAACACACAACTTTCACTTCCCGCTCAACTTTGAATAGAAATTTTTTTTGGCCATTATAAAATTTTTGAATTGCATTTTTAACTGACCTAAAGCCAAGAAATTAGAGCTAACAAATTATAAATACCATTAAAATAACAGAAGTCCTATTTATTATATCACTGGTTGATTATGGATTGCATGGTCCATTGATTATGGATTGTATGACTGTTAGTTATTAAACTGTTATTTTCCATTCCAAAGTTTACTAAAACGGACAGGTCAAAAGTTGTCACACTAATTGTAAGTGGATACTGTTCGAATATCATAGAAGAAAATTTCATCAAACTATAGAACGATAGATTCCTAAATATTTAAATATAATATCAGATCTAGAGTTATTAAACTACAGTAAATATATTAAACTTATCTATGATATATTTTTATATTTCGCTTCATCTTTCACACAAGTAAAATTAAATAGTACCTTAAACAGTGTCGTTGCCATGAATCCGTGGCTTTTAAATACTTTTTCAAACTAAAAAAAAATTTTAAAACTTTACGATGTATTAGAAAATTTTATTTAATTTCTTTGAAAACACTTGATTTACGTTAAATAATGTTAGTTTTTATGAATTATTTAAATCTTAACAAGAAACATTTATTTATGTTTTAACAAGTAACATTACACATTACACATGACACATTTGTTAGATAACTAAATCAAATACATACTTTTTTTTCATCATTTTATTTTATTGAGGATTAATACATTTTGCCTCAATTAGGAGCATTGTTTATTTTACTATGCCGATCCCTTCCAAGGCTGTCAGGGATATTGTCATAATAATTTTGCTTTAAGAGCTGGTGATAATTTATTGCTGTGGACTGTACAATTAGAGAAGCTAATGGATTAAAAGAGTGAAGATATAAAATTGATTGCTTTATTTCATACAATAAAATTTAATTTTATACAGGGGTTAATTATAGGTGGGTTGGGATACTTGCATTTTCTCTTTTCTTGTATTTGCTAGTCTTCTTGTTCATCTTCGCTCTCTTCCTTTCCTGGCCCCTTGCCTTCCGATGTAGTTTTTTTACTCCATATTCATCAAAGCAGTAGAATTACGAATATTCAAACTGGCCAGTCTCGTTAAATGTCACGCTACGTGAGCGCCTACGCTTCAGTAATGGCGGCGTGTAACCATAATACAATAATAAAAACAATAGAAATATTATAACAAAAGAACAGAAAAAGAAAATAGTAAAAAAAAAATCAATGAAACTTGATATAGCATTATATAAAAACTCATTCATACATCGGCGGTACATTTACTAAAATTGGAACGAAATACTTACTAAAAAGTTAATTTATAGTTGTAAAAAAAGCTAACAAAGACAGACTTCAATAGATTTCAAAAATATATTTCAATTAATTTCAAACGTTTGAGGGTCTATTTTTTTTTTTCATTTTTGTGGTTTATTTTAGATTTTGGAATAATCCTTTTTTTTTATTAGATGTATGACTAGTTACTTTTCATTACATTATTAATAAACGTTTTTTGTTTTTATGTACAATACATATCCATATGGACATGTGGTCCAATTTGAACCGAAAGTTCAAAATCATAGACATTGTTGATGGTATAAATAATCCAAGATATATTCGTGCGTTTTTTAATAACCGTCAAATCAGTATTTTGAAATAGTTTATTATAATTATTTGTCTGTCATATTGTAATTGTCTTTTGTCGGAGAGACAAATGGGCTGTGAAAAGATACCGCTGTCAGACAAACTCCCCCGGCCTTGGGGCCAATTAAAGACGCATAAACCCTCGCAAACGGCAAAGCCTTTGTTAAGACCCTAAACTTTTCATTAACTTTCTGTTTGTCCTAGCCCAAACTGCTTTAACGGTTGCTATCTGCGTTGTTGGGTTTATTTCGGTCCTCGTCTGTTTTGATTCCATTCGGATTGGATTTAGGAGCGTTGCTTATAGCTCCCACAATTAGACGGCAGTCCGGGAGCGAACTCGTGCAGCGCTGAGATAAAACTGGCATAGTTTTTTTTTATCCTCTGATATTGCTTACAAACATATACATGTATTACATGATAATATCTTAATTTTTCTGAAGGACTACCAGCTGTACGTGGGCGACTATAGTTCACTGTTTTAACATAAGATTGGAAACCAGAATAGAATTTTTTTTTTACAATATTCCACTGTCGTAAGTGTATGTTGTTTAAAATTTTGAAAATGATTACTAAATTGTGTTTTTTTGTTTTTTTTTTTGGGTCCTCCCCTTCCTCGCCGTTAAGGCTATACGGGGTTTTCCCGGGCCAGGGAGTGTGGGCGGAGATTTTAAAAGACTCCCTTGCCACCGGGACGCGAACTCGTGACTATTTTTATATCATTTGATTGATATATCAAGTTACGGGGCAACGGCGGTGCTGTACACACGCGTTAGCCCATTCGGCCACCTCGCCCACAAGTACCAAATTGTTTTAAAAAAAAAAAAAGGTCTGACAATTAGTGTTGGTTCATATGGTTCATCACCATATCTATTGGGAACATATTTACATATATTTGGATAATTTATTTCCAAAGTTAATCTGAAAAACTATATTTTCTATACTCTTTCTAATATCGAAAACTTTATTTTTTAAAAAGTTAATTAAGGAATTCATTATGAATGAGAAGTGCTTTATTAAATATGCATAAATTATAAATTTCCAAAATACACATAACATTTATACGGCATGATTATTCGTATGCCGGAAATTTTGTATGTTTTACAGATTTATAATAATTAAATATACATGAATAACTGATATATAATAAAACAACTAATACAATATAAAATAATAAATATTTTGAATAATTTATGTCTAAGAACTAATAATAAAGGAAAATGAGAGAAAACATAAATAATATAATGAATAAAACTGACCACAAATAAATTGAACGCATCATTGTTTATGCTGGACGTAGCAAATTAAAACGGTGTATCCACGCATAGCAAAACTGACAATTTTACGACATTCGTTCACAGAGGGGGCATTTAAAAGAGAAATTAGGATATAATAATTTCGAACCGGGCTTGATTTCGAAAGAAAGCTTGATTGGGTTTCGGTTTCAAAAGATGATGTATGGTTTGGGAGGGAAAAAGTACATTAAAATCTTACAACTGAAATTTACAATGATGTACTTAATATAATATATAATATTGAAATATATTGAAATGAAATAAATTTATTTTTAATTTTCATTCCAACAAAACAGTATGTTTTAAATACTCAAGAAATGAAAATATCATTAACATTCTTAGACTTACAATAACACCGATTTCGGAAATAAACTTATTTTCACTCCATTTTTTTTAAAACATTCAGTTTCGTTTTTGTAAACAAATTATTGCATTATTGGGCACATGGTGTTTTACTGATAAATCGACCCTTATGTCGATTTTCGAATAAATCTATTGGGGGGTGACTTTGCAAATAATCTATTCATATAACACTATTTTACATATTTTCCAAATGCGCTTCAGTAAATGCACTTAGGCTGTTAAGAATAAATGAGATGAATGAATTAGAATCGAGAAAAACAGATTATTTTTACTCTAATTCCTAAAATTCTGCCAACTTAGATCGGAATCGAACGAGTCAAGAAAAACACGTTTGCGCATGCGTTTGCGAAAATAGTAGAGTTTGATAAATCGGTATATGGCCATCTTTGTATCAAATCGCTCAATATCTTAAAACTTAAATGATTATTATTAATTAACAAATTAAAATCCCATTAATGCTATTAGTTATTATTCTCGTCACTTGAATTTTATTTCAAAGATGCAGGAAGCTAGAAAGAAAAGATACCAAATATTTTTTCTTGATCACTAAATTGTAAAGTAAAGAACGATAGCAAATGGAAAACCTCGGAACAAAACAATTTATTTTTGTTTCAATTTTAATTAAACATTTTCCTGATACTATTTGTTTTTATATTAATTTGTTTTTATTTTCTGTAAATATGGTGTTAATGAACTCTTTTCTCTCTGCTGTTCGTATTAAATAATCTCCTGTGACAGAATATTACTTTCCTCAATAAAATAGTTTGAAACCTAAAATAAAATTTTTTTTATACAAACTTCATACAATCTAAAATTATATTTCCTGTATATTAAAAAAAATACTAAGAAATACGAAAATTTTATATGATTGATTAATATTTATTTACCTCGGCAGTAGATAGAATAAAATTTAAATCAACATTTTTTTATTTATTTTTTGAAGGAAGCTGAGTGCATTTCACAACTATACGCCGTTACGTTTAGAACAGAACAGTTTCAAATTTTAAACTAATTACACACAATGTTAATTAATTAATATGGGAGATAGCATTACTGGTAGTTACCGTGTCGCGTGTTTTCCGACAACTAAGTAATTGAACACCATCCCCTGAGGCCTTCGGCAATGAGCTTCCAAATAGTGTTTATCTCGTATGTTTATTATTTAATATTTGTAATTAATACAAAATGATAATATAATTAATATTAATAAAGTGATCGATTAAATCAGATCTAATGAAACGTTATAATTATAGTAGTGTTTCTCTAATTTATTAGAAAATTAATTTTTCAAACTAAAAGCTCGGTGTAAAGTAAGAAGAAAAATATATGTATAAATCAATCTATATTATTAAAACTATAAGAAAATAATTAGATATAGATAAATTCATTGTGAGATAACTGGAAGAGAAACTTCACTTCAATTTATTTAGGATTTATTTTTTAATATTTTAAATTTTGATTTTAGTTTTGTTTTATTATTTAACTTTTTTATATGAAGATTCAGATTGAAGATGACTAAAAATAAAAAGTACGAACAATTTTAACCGAATCCGTATTAAGTATGAAATAATTTTTTAAATTGTTTAACACAAAAATTTGGGTTAATAATTAGCAAGGAGGCTGCCAGAACACTTTGATGTTTAAAGGTTATTTTTCAACTATTATTTTGTTATCATTAACTTTTTAAATTTAATTAATCAATAAAGTCAATACGTATCTTGCGTTTTAGCAATGTGTTTTTGAAATTATTGAAATTTTTCAATTTCAAATTTGATTTGACATTTATATTTGTTTTTAATTTTTCGGCGTGAAAATCATATTTCAATTTGAAAGGTTTGTTACAGGTAACTTCTAACAATTTTCTTTGTAATTTATTGCACTCAATTCTTGTTAAAAGTAAGACAGAAATAACTGGAACATAAAACGAAGATTTTTTGATTTTGATTTTTTTTTTTTGTTGCCTCTACCCTGTAAAAAAACGAAGATTTGAAAGAGATGATAAAAGATTAAATATAGCTCATAAAATAACAAAAACTTCATTGTTCACTTAAATATTAATTATTTAATATTTTTAATTTCAAAGAAATTAGTAGCCTCTTGGAAAAAAAATATAGCTTATTAGTGGATTCTTAATATTCAAATTAATTATCAATATTTGAGACTTTATGTTCCAAATACAATCCATTATCTTTAATTTCTTTACAAACATCTATAGTACTAGACGACAGTCACGGATGTATGAATAATTATTTACTTCCAAAGGTAGTTGAATCATGTGTGAATTGCTTTGAATATATTTTTTTTAAATAATCCGTTCACTTTATTACGATACTGCACCGAGCAGACAATTAAAATATATATAAAACAATGGAAAATGAGGCAGATTTTCATCGGAGTGCATCGTCCAGTACCGTTTTAATTTTCGCCAAATTTCTACAAATTTTGATACCTGGGACATAATCCCTTATTCGGATTTAATTAAGATATTTTTTTAGTTCATATTAGCTTAGTGAGATAAAAATTCAACAATTCATTATACCAGTATTGGTTGGGTTAAAATATTAGCCATCGCCATTTCTATATACATATATATAACATTTATATTAAACATGATATAACAGACATATTAGAGAATATAAAAATGTAGGATAATAAGTATAAAATAAAATTTAGTAAAACTTAAAATACATATACAAATAAATATACACCATTTTAAAAATAAAGGAAGGAGATAATGCGGGGTGACGGTCTTAAATAGGCTAAATAGTGGCAAAACTATTTTATTAAAAGCCAATGTTTCTATCTTCTTCAGGGAGGTGTGTTCAGCTAAGAGTTTCACTTAGAACATAGTCTGTTATATCATGTTTCAGTTCTATGTTCTAGGTGAAACTCCCTAGCTGAACACACCCGCTTGAAGAAGACCTGCAAAGTCGGGTCGAAACGTTGGCTTTTAATAAAATAGTTTTGCCACTATTTAGCCTAATTATGACCGCCACACCGGACTATGTCCTTCCTTTATAATGCAACGGTCAACTATTAAATATTCAACATTTTAAAAATAATTTTATATCCCATTCTATAACAAGAAACTGTTGCAGAGATTAAGATTTCCTTGGTTTTTTAAAATCTTTTTAAGATGATCGCTTGTTTGCTGAATTGATTCATGTCATTATTATTATTTATTCAATATTGAAACTAAGATACTTACAGATCATTTAATTAAAAAAAAAAAATAGTTAGAATTCCACTATTACGGGATATTGGGCTGAAGCTTCTCCCCTAGTGGAAAAATATTATTTTTTTTGTTTTATTACTTTTTTGTGTGATTTAGACTAAATATGTAAACAATATCAATATTTTATCTTTGTAAATTATATTTCTAAATACAATGAACAAATGTCAAGATAGAAATACAAGAAATTTATCTCTAAAAGCATTAATGTTCCTATAATTTGAGGACCACCTGAACAACATTTCATAAACATATATATGTTTTTCTTTTCCTTTCAGGGTGATACTGCTATTATAAAAAAAAATAAATAAATAAAAAAAATCCAAATTAAATCCTGGATCCGCATTAGTACCAACATATGATTTTTTTTTAAATGTATACATCAATTTATATTAAAGATAGTTATGTTACCGTTGCCGTATTTCCTCCTGTGAACTATTTATGTTTAGAAAGGAACTTCATGTGTCATACGGATATTGTTCAACTTGTAGTTACATCATGTTACACCCTTTCTGCCAATTAACAATTTTTACCATGGCACTGCTATTGTATCGTTTCTTGAATTATTATAAAATTATTTTATCGTTGAAAACCATCAGGCAAACGGGAAAGGCAGTATGTTAAGGCCTTGTTGATTGACCTTTGAGCCAATCTTGCATCTGGTCAACATAATGAAAATCAATAGCAACTTAATTGATTTTGACTCTCGTCATCCAACATTCAGTTGCGCTAAAGGGCAATAAACTGTTGCAGAGATTGATTTGATTTTTATTGTAAATGATTTTTAGTTGTTTTGACTTGAGCAATGCGAATCCCCAAGACCTTGAATTTTTCTTTGGATATTTGTGAATTGAAATCACCTATAAAAATGATTAAAAATTCCCAATTTGTAACGATATAAGACAGACAGAAATACTTGTTGTTGCTGTTCAATGTCCTTTCACATATTTGTTTTTTCAAAAAGTAACATTTATTTTTGTAAAATACTACCTGCACTTTTATTATATAAATAACAGACATATAAAAGAAAATAAAAATGTAGAATAATAAGCATGCAATAAGGTTTAAAACATATACAGATATATACATAAATATATATAATATATATATATATATATATATATATATATATATATATATATATATATATATATATAAGCGATTATCTTGAAAACATTTTTAAAAAAACAAGGAAATCTTAATCTCTGCAACAGTTTCTTGTTATAGAATGAGATTTCCTTGTTTTTTTAAAAATGTTTTTAAGATAATCCCTTATCTGCTGAATTTATTCATGGCATCCGAGTTTCTGAAAATTAACATAATTTGTTATTGATTTTAATAACATCACTAACAAAAATTAATTTTTCTAATATAATTATAATTTGATGAATCTTGACGTAATAATTATAATTAATTATTTTGAAATTTTGTTTAGTATACTGGCGAATTCGTTACTCATTTTTAAATATTTTAAATCTTATTGAAATACTGATTAGAAATTTCCAAACGATATTAAATTCCAAAATAAATAATGGACAATTAATGGTAATTAGTTAATGAGAAAAATTATTCGTTCGGACCTGAATTCAGTCAAAAAAAAGTATAATAAGTATTAGTTCATAAAAGTTAATTTTTTCATTAATTTATAGGCACGATTTTGGATTTGAGTACATTAAAACTTTAAAAAAAATGAATATATATTTTTGTAATATTAATTATTTAAGATAGGGTAATAAATTATGTATACATTTTACGTATCTCTCTGAAAATTATGAAACTATATTTAATGAGTAATATTTTAATGAAAGTGTCACAATTTTGCGTAAACAATGATATTTCGTATTTGTGATCTTTATAATAGTTATGTTCACTTGTGACGAATTATAACACTGTATAATATAATAAGACTTAGTATATATGGCAAATTAATGTACGCAACATGAATTCATCATAAAAAATTACTATTACAAATGATTGAATGAAAATAAAAATTTAAATATTAGTTTTAAGTAAAACTAAAAATTGATAGGTGACTAAAAACATTCTTTTGTCGATAAAATTCAATTAATGTAACATGTTGAAATCAATTATTTAAAATAGAATAAATTTGTAAAAATTGTAGATGTTTCACTGAAAATTTCATCTTTATCTTTGGCGAGTAATATTTTAATAATATGTCAGAATTATCTGAAAAATAATCATATTTCGTATTAGTGATTTTTATAATAGTTATTTTCGTGTGTGACGAATAATAACACCATACTATACAGTATAATATCACTTTATTCCATGAGAATACAACAGGTGTTTGCCGGTGACCAGCGGTATCTCTGGCAACCTTATCACAAATATGAGGACCATCGTTGAGCCCCATATCGTAACTTATATATTTTGTTCGATAAATATATTTAATGCAAGGTGCTATGCATTTTGTTTACTTACAGTGGAGTTCTCATCGCAGCCAAGTATGGCGTAGAAGTCTTCCTCTGGATCCTTCTGGTATTCGAGTATCCCTTGGACGCTGGCCATCCTCGCCTGAGTTCGCCGGCTGTACTGACTGCAGCGAGCGAGCGGGCCACCGACGTACTAAAACAACGATCGGCCCCACCCCCTTCGTCCGGGCTCTACTCTCCTCTTGCCATTTTATTACTGTCATTATTGTCCTTTGATGGCTGTAATAAAATGTTCTTCAATCCATCGATGGGATAATGATGGCCGTGTTGGTTGGTTAGAGATCTCTTTGAAACAGCGCATAACAATGTCGTATTTTCGTTTCAGACCTTTTTGTTTTATTATTTTCAATAATCAACCATTATGATCTACCAAAAAATTCAAAAACTTAAGCCCCTCTCAAAATTTGAGGTTTCATGTTTCAGGATGCATAGAATTAGAAAAATAAAAATTTTTTTGTCCGTCCGCCGTCCGCCGTCCACGCATTTTCTCCGAAACTATTAGACCGATTTTTTTTTCAAATTTTGATATAAAATTAGTGGTCACTCGAGGATGATCCTCCTTCATCGACATTACTATCCGCCTTTTACTTTAAAAATGGCGGCCGAAAAACCTGCGTGGCTATAGACTGTAGCTCCTAAACGAATGTACCGATTTCAATGAAACTTCGCCAAAGTCATTTTCCCGATGACCTTTAAATTTATCTACATAACATACTTCAACGAAAAGAAGCTGGAAAAAAAGTTACGAGGGATGGTAAAATTAAATTCGGAATAACTAAAAAATTATACACTTTTTTGTTGATATTGTATATTGTTTTTTAAAATTTTATGGAATTTCATAAAAAAAAAAAAAAAAAAATCGTTAATATCGGACAATTAGGAGCAAAGATATGATCTTCAGTTCTTTTTTATATGTCCTACTCCAAATGGTATATCGTTTGTTTGCTTTTTAAATTTTGAATGTGTTACTGAAGTAATGCTATTTTTTTTTTTAGCATGTTACTAATGATTAAAAAAAAGAAAGTTTAGTCCAATAATTGGAATCACCTTTTATTTATTTTTCTTTGTAACTAGGAAGGTAATGTTACTTTAAATGTTCAATTGTTTGGAAATAATAAAACATTGTGAAATAATTTGCCACGTTTCTTTATATTGTTTTACTTAGTCATCGATACGAAGTCGTTATTTCTTAAAAAAATCTTATTTAGGTATCTAAATCACCTTTGATTAAAACTCTTTCTCTTCTCTAAAAACTACATTCCGTTATACAGACCCCTTTTTATCAAATTATTAACATCAGCCTAAGACCTCGTGTATAGGTTCATTTCATCGTAACTTTTTTTTTATTTACGTAATTTTTTGGAATTTGGACGTTTTCAATCTGGAGATCTGCAAACATTGCCTATCTAATTAGGTACCTAAAACCCATAGAACGCATTTCCTTTCTACTTGGTTTATAAGAAAATTTGATCACAAAATCGAGAAGAAAGGGGGCTTAAAAATATATTGCGCCATTTGGCGTGATATGAGAATTTTCTTAATTTAACGAATCGGAGGCAGTGAAGACTTTATAAGTAATATTTGTATTCATAATGTCTGTTACAAATGGCATCTAACATACAGAGTAATATACTATGGATATATGGTCTGACTACACGAGTTCACTCCAGGTCTCCAACAGTGAAGAGTGTGACTTCAAGAATGTAACTGCATGAGTAATTTGTGCTGTGGAGCATGGGGTTTATATACTCAAGAATAACTAAGAGGTGAAGGGAAGTGTTGGAAGAGGACGGCAAAGGAAGTTATCGATAGTTGAGGTCTTAAGATAGTTGAGGTCTTAGTCTCATTCTTAAGATGAGGTCTGTGAGAAAGTACCCTTTTGCTGAAATCGGTTATTGTTCCCTAAGTCTTGATAATGGGTCTTCTAGATAACTATTTCTAAGCTACCAGAGATAGCTTGACCTAGCTTTATAGGAATGGTTTGTTCTTTCATCCTTTGAGTCATGAGAAACGACAATATAATACATGATTCACCAATTGGGATATTTGACAAAATAAAAGTTAAATTAATATTATTATTATTTGTTACGGATTAAGTCCATTCCGTAACTGTAGATAAAAAATTTGTAAGTTACGAGAAGATGAAGCCATTCACGAAGTTTATCATTCACATAATTATTTTTTACAAGACTGGAGGCGAATCTCGATTTATTCTGTAATAAACCTCGACTTAATTATTATGCACTTTAAGTTTATTAAACAAGGAAGTTTTTCTTGAAGAGGAAAAATCTATAATAAACAAACTGGAATAAACAATGATATCAAATGGGCCCTTAAAATGTATTTAACGAAGACAAATTCAACTTTTTTGTTTTAATGAAAATTTTTTGTAGTTCACTTTTATAAATTTGATAATTAAATTGAAGAAACGAGTTAAAAAAAAAAAAATTAATAACAAATAATGTTCGATGCGAGTATTCTTCAAACTACTACTCCCCCAGTCCGACCCCGGAAATTTTCTATGATTAATTTTTAAAATTAACTAAAATATATGAAGTTTCGTAAATCAGTCAAACATAAGGTTACTGCCACTTTCATGAATTTCACTTGCATGTGTTTGTTTTTGTTTTCCACTAAGCTCGTTTCACAAGTGTTATTTATAGAACAAGTTTTATTTAATCACAAGCCGGTTTTTTTTGTCGCTCTTAATTCATTGAATATGATGTTTATGTTAGAACTTGTACAGCGATGAGACATTAAGAATTTGAAGTGGAAAAGAGTGGATTCAGATTAAAAATTTTGACCTGAAAATAAGTGATTCCGAAATATAACGTTGTTTTTTTTTTATTCAGTCATTTATTTCTTCAGTTTCTCTACAGATTACTATATTTCGTTCATAAATCAAAGCAGAAACAATAAAATATTTATTCGATCTCTTAAAACCTTTCCACCAATATTTTTTTAAAGTAGTTACACATCTCTAAAGAGTTGCTACATTTCCTTATAATAGTCGACCACGTTACAGACTTAAACTCCTCCGGAAAAAAAATCTCATAGCTACCGGAAGTATTTTCCCCTCAGATTTAGTATTGCTTAAACCAAACTGTAAGTTATCAATTTTCCTATCACTGACCTATATATTTATTTTTGAGTCCATGTATATAATAAGGATGGTTAGAAGTTTCTCCATTAAAAATAATTATTTTGTTAGTCTGGCACTCGGGTCTTTTCTCTTAAAGCTGAACTCCACTCCAGCGCACATGTGATTCTTCAATATTTCCTATTCGAGAAATTTTCCTTAGTTCGGCAGGCTCAGAACTATTTTACATTAATCCATTATCAGCGGGATAACCCCAAGGTTCAGTTCTGGTTCTCTTTCTATATATTATATACACTTACGACCTACCTATTGACGTCGAAACATTGACTGCTACTTATGCTGACGATTCAGCAACTCTCACAAAACATCATGATCCTATGCCACACTGATTTTATATCACTTATGTTAGATAAATTACACGACTAGTACAAATTATTGAAAATTATACCGAACAACGATAAATAGATACACATTACATTTATCCTTAATACCTGTCTTCCAATTTATATTTAAAACAACCAAATCCCTCAGAAGGACAACATCGCTATCTTAGACTTACCTTTGATGGAAGGATGACATGTGGACCACATGTTGAAATGAAATGGAATAACCTAAATAGACTGCTAAAACTGCTTTACTCTTTTTTTTTCCAAATCTTGGAAACTTTTTATTTTTTTTATTATTACTTATGAAATTTACAACTGTACAATTAATATGCATTCAGCAAATGTGACACAGAGAAATAGATGACATCCCAAGGCTTGTAGAGAATCTACCCATTGGTAGCGCTCTAATAAAGTTTCTAAATGATTAGATCCATCTTTTCAGACGCCTAGGAGGGTTATCAGGGATCGAGGAGGAAGGAAGGGTAGAAACGAGATTATTAGGATGGTTCTGAAGTTTACTATGGAAGAATAGGTATCTGGGTGGGCCAAATCGGAAATATGTGGAACATTCAGATCATTATTGATTATTTTATTTGTTACAAAGTAATGAACATTAAGGATTTACGAAGGATTTTGGATTGTAAAAATTGGATACGAGAGGATTGGATGGTTTAGTGGAGCCTCAAACCTCAACTTCGGAAGTCCAAATAGGTCTTATTATGGTCATTTAGATAAGTGTTTTGTAATTAATTGAAAGGTTAGAACGTTGGTCTAGTAAGGGCTGAAGTAGTCGGAAACGTCTAGCGGTTTCTTGTCGTTTCAGTCTGATATAAGGATTCCTTGTTAGACGTTTGTCCAGGTGGAGTCCTAGGTATTTGAAAACTTAAATATAATTACTCAAGTCTATATGGACAAACTCCTCACAGATATAAAGAATAGTGAAAAGGGCTCTCTTATAAAAACTTCAAGCTTTCCTATCAAAAATACTCATAACAATCATAACTAAAGCACCTCGATACGTGACAAACAAAACCCTATAAACTGACTTCTACATACAGTTGAACATCACACAATGACTCTTTATCAACGGTTTGAAACTAATTTACATTTACACACTAATTTATTAATAAGATACATGGCTTCAGTTGAAATGCTCATTAGTACAAGGAGGAAAACGAAAAGGCGCTGGGTGAAAGACTTCCATCCTTAACAAACCATGGTAATTGAATCAATACAAGGAAGAGGTACTGCTGGATGTTATCCTTATCCATGTCTGACATGTCATTTCAATTATTTTAATCAGACTATCTGCTGATTGCCAACAGTTTGTCGTCAGGTCTATATAAAATATATATTTGATTAACTATTCCTCCTTTACTTGTTACTATTTTATTTATTACTTTCAATACTTACTGTTATTACAAAATATAATATTGCGCTATTGTTATTATTTCTTAGAATTTTAAGATAGGAATAATTTCAGGGTATAGAATAGAATAGAATAGAATAGAAAATTAAACTTTATTCTGGGACTAAGTCCCTTTAGAATAACAATGATGAGTTAATAGAAAGTAAAGTACAAATCTGACCAAAAACTAACTTATAAAAATTTTAATATTATATACATTATGATATTATATACATATATATGATGGATATGTGTAACAATTTAAGGAACATATTTCTATAATCTC